CTCATTAGCAAACCTGTGCTATTTGTAGTTCTGTTCATCATGATATACGTGGAAAGGCAGATACATTTTAATTGCTAAGATAAACTGCTGTCAAGTTCTGTGACTCAGCAGGTACGCTGAGTACCTTTGGTACAGTGCAAGGAATAGATTTTTAGAGTTAGAGAAATAAAGAAATTTTAATACCAGTAATAAAATTGTATGACTCCAGATGTCAGAAAACTAAGAGTTTGATGTTGATGGAGTAAGCGGTGCTTTTCCCCTTTTAAATATGAAAATATTACAGATGGGAAGAAAAGAAAAACATCACTTCTCCTTCTGGAGCTCTTCTTGACATGTTCAGAGTTGTTTTTCCAAGTGAAGCTGTGTGGCTTCATGTATATCTTTTCCATCAAGTTTGGGTGCTCTCTATGAGCAGTGCATCTCACAGGAATGCCTCTATATAAAAAGATGAAGTAACTGAATATAATTCCCACCTGTAATTTGCCTTTTGTGCCATACATACTAAAACCTATATATTATATAAATGAATGTAATAAATAAACAAATGCTGTAAGATGAGCCAGTGGGAATGAAAACCAGCATGGATCAACAGGGAATTTTTTCTGAGGCTCTGGAAGAAAAAAGAGTCTCCTTCCTATGGAAGAAGGAATGGGCAACTTAGGGAGAATACAGAGATTTTGTTAGGATATTCAGGGAGAAAATCAGAAAGGCAAAAGCCCAGCTTGAACTCAACCTAGTCACTGGGATAAAAGAGGACAAAAAACTTCTTTATAAATATATTAACAGTAGGAGATGGGCTAAGGAGAATCTCCATTGTTTACTGCATGCACTGGGGAATGTGACCACTGAGGATAAGAAAAACGCTAAGGTTCTCAGTGTCTTCTTTATGTCTGTCTTTAAAAGCCAGACCAATTATTCTTAGGGTACTCTATCCCCTGACCTGGAAGTCTGGGATGGGGAGCAGAATAAACCCCCCACAATTCAGGTGGAAACATAGATCTACCACTCTACCTAGACTGTCACAAGTCCTTGGAGCCAGATGGGATGCACCTGAAGGTGCTGAGGGAGCTAGCAGAGGTGATTACCAAACTGCTTTCCACAATCTATCAGTGTTTGTGTTCAACTGGAGAGGTCCCAGAGGATTGAAGGCCTGCCAGTGTGACTCCCATTTACAAGTAGGGTCATAAGGAGGATCTTGGGGAACTACAGGCCTGTCGGCCTGACCTTGGTGCTGGGAAAGGTTATGGAGCAGATCATCTTGAGTGATATCACATGGCATGTGCAGGACAGCTGGGGGATCAGGCCTAGCCAGCATGGGTTGGAGGATGAAGGAGAGGTTGGAGGATGAAGGAGAGGTTGGAGGATGAAGGAGAGGTTGGAGGATGAAGGAGAGGTTGGTGGATGGTGTTAAATTCAGCTGGTGACTGGTCACAAGTAGAGTTCCCCAGGGATCTATACTGGGGCCTGTTCTGTTTAATATCTTCATTGATGATCTGGATGAGGGGACTGAGTGCACCCTCAGTAGGTTTGCAGGTGACACCAAGTTGTGAAAAAGTGTTGATATATCTGAGGGTAGAGGTGCCCTTCAGAGGGATCTGGACAGGCTGGATAGTTCTGCTGAGTTCAATGGGATGAGGTTCAACAAGACCAAATGCCGGGTCCTGCACTTTGTCCACAACAACTTCAGGCAACGCTACAGGCTTGGGGCAGAGTGGCTGGAAGACTGCATGGAGAAAATGGACCTGGAAGTGTTGGTTGACACTCAGCTGAACATGAGCCAGCAGTGTGCCTTGATGGCCAAGAAGGCCAATGGCATCCTGGCTTGTATCAGAAATAGTGTTGCCAGAAGGAGCAGGGAAGTGATTGTCCCCCTTTACTCAGCATTGTTGAGGCCACACCTCAAATTCTGTGTTCAGTTTTGGGCCTCTCACTAAAGGAAAGATATTGAGGCCCTGAAGCATGTCCAGGGAAGGGCAATGAAGCTGGTGAGGGGTCTGGAGCACAAGTCTTACAAGGAGCAGCTGAAGGAACTGGGATTGTTTAGTCTGAAGAGGCTCAGGGGAGACCTTATCAATCTCTACAACTCCCTGAAAGGAGGTTGTGGTGAGGTAAGCTCGTTCTCTTCTTCTGCATAACCAGCAATGGGATGAGAGGAAATGGCCTCAAGTAGTTCCTGGGGAAGTTCAGGCGGGATATTGGGAAAAATCTCTTCTCTGAAAGAGTGCCAAGGTGCTGAAATGGGCTGCACAGGGAAGTGGTGGATCTGCAGTCACTGGAGGTGTTCAATAAATGTTTAGATGTTGTACTGAGGGATGTGGTTTAGTGGGAAATATTGGTGGTAGGTGGACAGTTGGACTAGATGATCTTGGAGGTCTTTTCCAACCCTTGGTGATTCTATGATTCTATGAAATGACTGGTATGTAATTTTTCTGCAAATGTCCAAAAGTCTGAAGTTCCATGTGCAGCTAATACTCCAAACATTTAGAGATGCATAATAACTTTATTTATTATACTGATTTTTTTTCACTGTGTACAGAAAGTTCCCTGGGCCTTCTACAGGCTTAGTCTTGCAAGCGGTTTCAAAGTGCCATTCATTTTTAAATGCATTCCTTTACAGAGCAACTCTAAGCTGGTGTTAGCAACTCTTACCCTAAGAGCATTTTAAACACAAAGGACAAAAAGTAATATGAATCTTAATGCCTTATGTTACTTGAGATAAGTTGTACGTGCTTTTCTCTTTGACTGTTCTAGTTGAATTGTCACTGGAAGATAAGGAAAGTTCAGTAATATGCTATTAAAACCAGATGTGCTGGGCTAGAAAGAAGTTATATTCTAGAAGTTTGTTTTGCTAGCCTGTAGGTGGAAAGAACAGCTGAGATCACACTTCTCAAAATATCAGTGGATTGCTGTACTATACCTGTTTGTCTGTTTGCTGATTGGATAGGGCTGTTGCTGGGCTGATACTGTTTTGACCAAAATTAGAAAGTCAATATAAACGAGTCAAACGAGACTGCCTGCTTTTTTTTTTTTCTTTTTTTTTCAGTTCTCTCTTCTGATTCATCTGTTGTTTGTTTCAAATTCTTACAGCCTTTGTGAAATGGGGGCTGTGCCAGCAAAGGTGAAAGCTCTTAGTGGTTAGTCAGGAAGAACGTGCAGAAAAAAATTGTCTCAATGACATTTAGAAGCTAGCAAAAATATGATGCCTGGTTTAGAGAAAAAAAAAAAAGTGGAAGTGGGTCCTGCAGAGTGGTCATATTATACAGAGAGAGGAAGAGAGCTCACGTCTCCATTAGGAAACTGCCTGCCTCTTGAATTCAGAGGTAGCATTTGTCTTTACCTTAGGTTGATGTTCTTGTCAGCTTCTGTGGCAGAGGCTTGGGGCCTGAAATCTGCTCATGAGGGCATATGTGAAAAAATAATTTGCTGCTTACACATCTTTTGTCCTTAAGTCTACTTCAGTTGGAGTGTGTCTGGTTAACTTGTATTATTAATACCATCAAGGATTAGAATGTCTATGATTATAACTATTGCATCTGAGGAAAATGATCAAAATACTGGGTTAATGCAAGTACAGCAGTCTAACAGGTAAAAGATGCTGGCTGCACTATACCTGGAGAAATGCTGTTCTTTTACCTGTGCTGATACAGCTATGAACTCTTTGAAAAGAAGTAGGTTTTGAATATATGTTTTAGATGTTTTAGTTAGTTTGTACTTGGCTTAGCTCAGATTTTCAGAATCTTTTCTTCTTTTTCCATATAGGTGGGTCAGAAAGAGATGGGGGAGTGTTGAATAGCACTGAATCCACTCATTTTGCAGAAAAATAGCTCTAGCTCTGTCTGTCCAAAATGAAGCAAAAAGAGATGCAATTCAGTATCCCACTCGAGGGCAAGGATAGGAAGTGCTTTAAGAGAACAGTTTGGTTAAATCATGAGATCTTGAGATGCTATCTAAAAACAGAAAGTAGGTCTCATTTAGCAATGATAAAAATAAGAGGGTGGCAAAAACATTTAAAATCAAAATCAGAATAAAACAGCACAATATGAGAAGCAACTAGAAGGGGACATAAAACGAAGCATGAGAACTTATATAGAATATTAATTGCAAGAAGACAATAAGGAAATAATTGCTTCTGTGTTCAGAAGATAAGATGAGAATTACTGGCAGATGACATTAAGTAGTGAAGTGTGGAATGCTTTTTTTTTTTTGATCATACTTAGACCTTTAAGAAAAAATGATTAATCTCTATTCCAGCTTGACTTCTTTTATCACTGAATAATGAGCTAGAATGTATTTAAGTGTCTTCAGGCCAGGTAGACCTCAAGAAATTCACCTTCTGATGCTTACTAGAGAGCAGAAAGGGGTAATGTCTCTGGAGTTCCTGAGAAGTTATGTGGGATGACAAGGCCATAGGACACCTCTCTGGAAAAGAAGAAAGGGGAAATTGGGAAACAACAGACTGATCATATTTTTGGTAAAATTCTGGAACAAGCAATTCAGCAATCTCTAGACAATTGAAATTAACAAGGGAATGACATGGATTTAACAGTAACAGAGTAAGGTGAAGTAGTTTAACCTCTGCAATGGGTACCAGACCTAGAGAAGGAGGGAAGTTAGCAGTCGTTGGCCGTATAGCAGACATTTGCTTGCTTGTAAGATTAGTAAGATCTAGCTCATAGGATTATTCTGGGGTATAAGGTGATGTTTTAAAATTACTATGGACTTGTTAAAAACAGGTTGCAAAGCGTATTCCATTACTGATTAGCAACCTCAATGCTGTAGTATATCTGTCAGATGCTTTTTAAAAAATTTCTTCTGTAATCTGATTTATGAAAAATAGTAGCATAACAATTTACTTCTATTTGCTATGTTTGGCATTCTTTCTTTGTTTTGGGACCTGTTATTAGATTAATTCTGAAACAAATTATTGCCTTCTGTTTAAGCAGCTGATAGCTTCTGATATTTTTTTACTTAAATAATATGATTTGTTTACTTTATTGCAGGACTTGGTTATCCGTATCATCTTTATTCTTGGTAATTTAACAGCAAAGAGTAACCAGGCCCGTGAGCAATTTTTTAAAGAAGAAGGAAGTGTTAACACCTTGATGTCATTATTCCAAACCTACCATGAACTTGATTTGAATGAAGAGAAATGGTACCATGAAAGAGGAAGGGAAGAAAAAAAAAACCCAAAGCATCCTTCCAAAGCAGAAGATGTTCTGATAAAACTGATAAGAGTGCTGGCCAATCTGTCCGTTCATCCCAGTGTAGGAGCAGCTCTGGCAGCTGCCCATCATGTTGTAGAATTACTTGTTACAGTACTAGGTAATAAAATCTATGTTGCATGTGTTATCTTCGTTCAATCTGCAGGAAGAGTTTAGGATTTTTCTGCTTAAGCTTTTTATCTAGATTGAGCCATACCTAAGTGGATTTTGTTGCTAAAATAAGTCAATTTCCTGGTATTCATAAACTGTATTATATAAAATGCTGTTTGAGACAGTGAAAGCATTGACTTTTCAGTGTCTGTGCAAAGAAGTTGTAGAAGAGCTTTATTTGGTGGTAAGTTCAGACTTGATCACTAAAGAGAAGCAAATTAGACTTCACTTATAAGAAGATCCATTGTTTTATTTATTTTTAACATTCACAATTTTTGTCTCTGTTCTTGGGTTGGATTTACCACTTACTGATCCCTTTGTGAATCTAAATGCAGGCTAGAACTGAGCAGACTGTTCTCCCACTAACATAGTTCATCAGTGAGGAGATATATTTCAAATAACTCAATATATTTTAGTGTGTGATGAGAACAGTAAGATTACATAAACACAATCAGCCTGTTTATATACTAATTTACCAGTCTTACCTACAACCTGGCATTTAGAGACAAGAAGACTCACAAATTCATCCACTCTGTCTTAAGCCCTGCAGGAGCTACTAGGGTTGCAACTGTCCTAATAACTGTGTAAGCACTTTTGAGCTTTAAAGCTTCTCTCCGACCCTCTCTTCTTGTCATGAGTGCTCTATAGTTTACCACAAAATTTTATTTCCTTCACCCTTGGTTTCTGAGGACAGAAACCTCAGAAAAATTCAGGCTTGCTAGCATAAGAGGAAATTGCACATCAGTAACATTGTCAGGAGCTCCTTAAGAGAGAGAATGTCTCAGATACTGTTAAAGACTACTTTTTTATTTCAATGTGTTATAGTGGCTTAATAGTAGTCTTTGTTCTCTTTGTCAGCAGTCTGATAACTATAATACAGGCCTGTTTCTGCATGCAAATCCTCCTCAGCCCCATCTCAATGCAGTGAAAAGATCTGTAATATGTTTTAACTAGATTTTACATAATGTCATGTTAGTCACAATCATTTCTATAGATGAAGTCAGAAAGACTTTGTATTGCCACTTCTGCATCAGCTATTCCTGTTAGCCTCTACCATTTTAGTGAAAAATAAAAATGATCTTTAATAGTGACCACGTTAATTGAACTGCAATTCAGTTCACCTCTGAGCTATGCTTCTAAGTTTTGTGTTGGTATATGTATGTATATATATGTATGCTTTCTTTATATATATTAGAATATAAGTCAGTTGAAGTCTGCGAGGAGTTGGTGATCAATGCTGCAACCACAATCAACAATTTATCCTTCTACAAAGTGAAGAGTTCTGCAGTTCAAGACAAGAAGCTACGCATTGCTGAAAGTAAGGATTTTAAATAGTGCCTTTTGAAAGTGAAAGTTATGCACGCTATGCTTTTTCACTGCAGAAAATAAAGACGCTGATAGTGTATTGTGGCATTATATTGCAGGAATATACAGATGATAGGGCTAAATTACTCCCACAGTGATTTCTAAGTCTTCTGGAACATAATCATACAACTTGTGTGAAAATATTTAGCTCGCTGACAAAACCCCTTCCTTTACTCCCCAGATGAATTTGCTGTGATGTTTTCTCTTCAGCAGTTTTTGATAGACTCATTCATGCCAAAATAATAATTACTGCCTTCTAGACCTGCAGGTTTTGTTATCTGAAACTGTTTTGTTTTTGGATTATAAATCTGTTGCCAGTATAGGGCTTACATGGTTCACTCCCCTCTGTCGGTATGGACAACAGTCATATTTTAGTGATGTGAAGGAGCTGCATGTGAGTTCTGGGATTCATTGTATTAATCATATACAAAAGGCTGTTGTTATACAACAAGCCTTGCAATTAATAGACAAGATACGGAGGAAAGACAGAGCCTGAAGTTTATGCAAAGGGCAGAATGAAGAGTAGGAAGAAGTATTATGTCTTTCCACATAGTGCCCTGACTACTAGATATAGTTTCCTCTCTAGGATAACAGTTCTGGTATTCTGTCATGAATGATTTTATCTCCCTTAAGCTAGCTCTTTTTTAATGCTAGTGGAAACAAATGACTTCTCTTTCAGTCCTACTTGTTCTCCCTCTCTTGCTTTTATTGTTAGAATGGGGAAGCAGTCCCATCGCCTTTCCTCTGTGAGAAATGAGGAGAGATGAAACTTCTTAACACAAGACCAGCACGCTTCCTTCAGGAGACATTTTGAGAATGTTTGCTGTTTGATACAAGTGTGTGGATCCCAAAGATGCGCACACAAAAAATAAAATCATTTCTGTTGTCTCTTTAGGGCATGTTCAAGGCATGTTCAGTATTGCAGTGTTCCAAGAACAAAGTAATGGGAATAAAGCCAACCTCTTTTCTCATTTTGTGTTTCTCACTTTTCTGTGGTGGGAAGGGTTAATGGTTCACCAATTTGAGTCCTTTTATGTGGTGCACTGATTTCGGTGATTCACTTCTTCCTCACAGAAGACCGATAAATGCACTTTCTGTAGCGTCATTGCTTTGCCACATACCAAAAATCTAAACGATGGTAACTCTTCCTAGGAAAGGTCTCATTCTGTCTGCTGAAGATTGATGCTAATTACAAATGAATCTGCTAAGCAGGAAAGCAGCAAGCAAATAAATGTTTCAGACTGGGGTGATATTAAGTAGCTATTCAGAGGAAATGTATTTGCTTGTTGGAGCAGCACTGACTGATAATATAGCTAATGTCAGAAAATAATTTTTGTTTAAAGAGGCATCCCACCATAAGACCATCTGTTCAGGATCTAAATCAGTTTTCTTAAATATTACAGCATTTTTTGTTCTGTCTTCCTGGATTGTCACGTGAGCCCACTCAAAACTGTACAGCAAGATCGGTTCCCATTATTACAACTGTTCTTAGGCTATCCTCATAACTCCTCATCTGTTCCTTTGCATTTAGCCCCATATTGGAGCTCTTTGTCTCATCTTCAAAGCCTTACACAATTCAGCTCTTGTACTATCCCCTTCACTGCAACCAGACTGTTAGATAGATGTTCCCATTTATTACGTGTATTGCTGTTGCTTCTTGCGTTCTGATATTTATTGATAAAAAGCCAAGCACATTTCTGATATACAAGTAATTGCTTTTATTTCATTTCTCTGCAAATCTGTAGTGCTTTTAAAGCTGTTAATGAGCAACAATATGGATGGAGTTGTGGAAGCTGTCAGAGTCTTTGGCAATCTTTCCCAATATCATGAGATCTGTGACTTCATCGTACAGAAAAAGAGTGAGTTTCGCATTTGTAGGAGTCCTGTTTTTAAATGTCCATAGTTCTAAAAAGAAAAAGCTTATTAATGAGCTGTCTCACTTAAAGGGCAGAAGCAATCTTATCTGAAGTTTTGCATATTATGCCAATCTTAAAATCCAGCAGTAGTTATTATAAAGACCATTTTAGTTCAGTTTCATTAAGATGGAAGTATTGGAGTAGGAAAAATGTGCTGTGGTCTACCTTCACAAAGGCAGATACTACAAAAAACACTGTTTTCCCTAAACATTATGATTTTGATTTCCCTTCACTCCTTCATTTCCTGAAGTCATATAGGTTTATAGTGATTTGATATAAAATGAGTATCCAACTTAGCTCTCATTTAGCTTCATAGTCTTTTGATTCCCATGTTCAACAGCTTGTTAGTGCATTGTAATATGCAGTTAAGTTAACATTTGCCTCTGCAAAGAGGCTTCCTCTTTGCCCCTGGGTGAAGTAGAATACAAGTCTTCTCAAGTCCTTTTGCTTTGGTGCCTGAAGAGCTTTGGGGAAAAAAAATGGCAGCTCCTTGCTATCCAGAGAAGCTGCAAAATCAGTTTAATTAAAAAACAGTTCACTGAAAATATTTTTCTGTCTACCTATCAGTGCTTAAAGTGTGGTGATTTGCAGCAATATACAATCCCTTCTTTCAAGGATGAATATATAAAGGCTTGTGGTGGTGAAGGTATCTGCGAAGGACAAGCTGACACTCAGTAGCTGCTTGCTAATGAGCTGTCTCAGAATTTTACATCTTGGAGAGACCGTGGTGTCAGCATGCCAGGTTCAGGAGGAGCTGGGAGACTGCCTCTCCTCTACACGGGACTGACTCTCTGACTGAAGTTGCCTTCCACTGCTTATTAAGTTTAGATTCAACAAGTGCTGCGAGATGCTGCATGCCCAGCATCTGCTTCTTGCCCGCTTTCTGCAGAAGCCCCAGGCTGCAGCAGTCCCAGCTGGATCTGATGCAGTCTGAGGCAACCCTGCCTTGCATGGAACTTCCCTCTGTGAGTGCCAGATGCTAAATCTTAGTGGTTTATGCTGACTGTGTGATTGAAATGAGAGCGATACTTTTAAGAAGTAACCTGTAATTCAGCTTGGTCAACCTAACTTCTTCTGACTTGATTTTCACAATACTTTGGTGTCAAATTTTGTAGGTGTTGTGTTGAAGTATCTGGTGTTGAGCTTGTACTAATGACTCTTACCCTGTCTTATAAGCCAAATGCAGTAATTTCACGCTACTGTGCTACAAGGTTACAATTCTGCATTTGACTGTTTTCTGACTGTGCACGTTTAATAAGTATGTGGTATACTGCCATTTGCATGAATATCTTCTCAGTAATGCTGGTTTTTTTCTTTACAACCCAGTACACAAGTTCGTGATTGCTTTACTTGATGCCAAGAATCAAGATGTCTGTTTTTCTGCCTGTGGAGTCTTGCTCAATCTCACAGTAGATAAGGACAGACGAGCTCTTCTGATGGAAGAAGGAGGAATTGGGAAGTAAGTTCCTGCTTATATTTTACCAAAAGACACGTTCCAGTAGTTTGGCCAAAGATCTTTAATCAGATCCTTTTTCATTGGGACCAAGAACTTGTTGTAAGATTGCAGACTAGGGATGTAATAGGCTTCAAGAGAGAATCTTTCATATTCTTCAGTATGTTTTTTTGCAAGAGAGTTGGAGTGCCTTAGCCAACTGCTGTGCCAAGATTAGTAGAATAATCTTCCAGAGATCCTCCTGATCTATACAGGAGCATACAACACAATAGCTAAGGCGTGGCTGTACAGTAGCCACTTTTGCTTGACCTAACTGAATCCTATGTGAGTTAAATGTACAATTAATAGACACCTTTAATAGGTATCTGTGAAAGAAATAGGGTGCCTCCCATGGTCTTTTGTCATTTTGGTAACTACTTCATACTGCAGGGAGAACAATCTGAGGTATCTATGCTTGGCATAACAAAGCTGCTGTGTCTCCTCTCTCTGAGAGTTCATCGTTAAAGCACTTTTACTGTAAGTGAAAAGATCTTGAAAAACCACTGTGGATGCAACACTTGTGGCTTTGATGTTCAGATAATAGCGGATCCAGCTTAATTGGAGCAACATGAAAGATCTTGTTCTTACGCTTGTAAAGCAGTTGATACAACCCACATTTATGAAACAATATGCCAAACTTTGAAATGCTTTCCTGTTCATACATCACATAATTACTTATTTTATACTGTGTAAACAAAACTTTTTGTCTGCTTATCTTTCCTTCCCGTGTTCTGGTTAACTTTCAAAATCTGAAAGCTGAAAAGCGGGAATAAAAATAAATGACAGGTTGATTGAAGAATTAAATGTGAGAAATGTCTACTATATTGAATTTTATATAAAATGGAATTAGTAGAATTTCTGTTATGTAGAATTGTATAAAATACAGAATTGCCTGACAGTTTGTGAAGCGGGAAGGAAAAGCTAACAATATGCAATGAATCTAGAGAATACACAAGTGGTTACACAGTCAGGATGACCTCCTTAAGAAAATCAGCCCTATGAATTTTTGAAAATTAGGTTATTGTACCTATATATAGTGTTCCTAATAAAACAGGAAATCGGTCTCATCAGAAGGATAAACTTAAAAAAAAAAATTAGAGCATGATCTTTTGGGTTTTTATCAGATGCCTGCCAGTTTTCTGCAAACCTCATTTTAGTTGCTTTTCAGTTCCTGGTGTTTTCAGCCACATTTGAAAGTGCTAGATATCCTCTGGTACCTTTCCTCATCACTGGATTATAAAGCTCACATTGAAACAGGGAATTGAGAGAAAGACGGTGTCATAAGGTTGAGGAAGAGAACATCAGTGAAGGATTAATGTTAGAGAGCTCGCTAGGGACAGCGGGTAAAAAACAGCATTTATTTCTGCTGCCCTAGAACTTGTGAACAATGCTGTTTGGAAATCGGAACTCTGGACATGTACTGTATGTAAACTGGTGGAAGCAGAAAAGTTATAGCTTAATTTCAGTGTCCTGTATGAGTTAGCCTGCATTTCATACCTGTGAGGAGGTGAGACTAGGATAAAGGCCAAGAACCTAATGATCCTTAATAAAACTGGCATTTCTGAGAAGAGTCTATTGGGAATGCAGGCTAAGAAAATACAAGAAGGGATGAGATCTGCAAAACAGTCAGACTTCACTGAATCTAAGAGGTAAATCTGTGAACCATGGAAACAACATGGAAACAACAAATTGTTTTGGATGTCTTCAGGTTAGATCCTCTGATGTGTAATAAACTGTAAGCATTGACAGAAGATTGTTCTGCTTTCACGTCATCTTCCTAGGTGGATTCTTGGAGCCTGGTAAGGTTGGCTTGCATTGCAGTCTTGGCTGTAGTGGTAGCTACAGGTTTGGAATAGTCATGTATTGCCATGAAATCGAGCATCTTTCATTTGATTGTATTTGTGACATATAAGATTGAAATAGTTCAGTTGGATTAACAACTTATTTGATGTGGTCAGATTCAAGTAGGTATATGCACTTATATAAAAGCAAAAGGCATGTTTGCATCCTTCGGGTACTAGACTAAGTGAAAAAGAAAAGAGTAGCATCAGAAGTTTGTTAATGTAGAATTTTCCTGCAACCCCTCATGGAATCTGCACACACTTCTAGACTGCCTAGATCTTAAAGGACTCCAGAGAAAACTATATGGAGCAAAAATACTATTTGTGTTTGTTACTGACAGGTTAGTTGACTGCTTACGAGACTTTGGGCCAGCAGACTTGCAGCTGGCTTGTTTGATATGCAAAACCCTCTGGAACTACAGTGAAAACATCACAAGTGCAGCCTTGTGCTTTGGAGAAGATACTGACACATTGCTGATGCTGCTCACATCACTCTTAGGTGAGATTCACATTGTTGATGTCTTTTCCTTAATAAGTGAAATAGAAGGAGCAAAATCAAAATGGTGTTGCTTGGATGGGAAGTCTGTCATGGATCTATAAGTGGGTTGGCCAATATAGACTGTCCTGCAACACAGTGGTTTATTGACATACAGCACATTCCCTGAGGTTTTGCAGATTGCCAAGATGGAGTTGGCCACTGCTACTCCTCTCCTTAGCCTGTCTAATTGGCGTACCATTCATGCTTTTCACCAGCTGCCCTTTGGCCTGCTTGATCCAACTGTCAGCACAAAACATGCTTTTCTCTGGATATGAGCCCTTCTGGCCTCAAAGGTAATTGCAGCTCTTTACAGAAGCAGCTCGGTGCTGCTGCACAGCACATGCTGGGCTGTCTGGGGAACGTGGCTGTCCCTTCAGAGGCAGAACTGTGTGACAAGGGTCCCCTACTGCCCTGCTTTTCTCACTGTGATCTGAAGTGCAAGGACAACATCCTGACGATTTCTTTTCTGCTCTATGAAGCTGGGGAGGATGTGCTCCTTCTCCACAAATACATATACTGGAAGGTGCCTGCAAGTGAATGTTGAGGCCTGAACTCATTTACCTAGTTGGATCTTTGCATCTGCATGGTTTTTTTTGCTTCTGATTTTACAGTTTAATACTGTTATTTTTTCTTCTTTACGAGCACTATTTTGACTGTGTTTTTATTAGAAGTAGGTCATTTGAAATTACCTTTTAAAAAATCTTTAAAATGTAAAGGAAATTGAAGCAGGCCGTAACAAGTTTTGATTTGGTTTTAGAGGAAAATGAAGTAAAGGGTCATGCTTGCTGTGGAGAAGGCTGCAGATGAGACCCAGATACAAAGTGAGATCCTCATGTTCTATTTTGTTTTGGACAGTGGATGGTTCTGTGAGGATTTTCTTTTCCAGTTACAGCAAAATTACTGTAATTCACCTTTATAAGCCATTGCTTTCATTGGATCCCTTGCTGTGATATTATAGCATATCTTAATATGGGCAAGAATTCCATCTATTTACCTGAAAATACTCAGTACCTCAAGATCATGAGTGCTCTATTTAATATACTGCAATGGAACTGGAAACTTTACAGCCATGATCATACTTAAATTTTCTGGCATGCAGCAATGAAAGTATATCTTTGTTTTGGATAATTCTGAAATATTTCTTCCTCTACATTTAACGTTGGTTATTCCAGCAATAAATTTGACTGCAGAGTCTAGGCTGTGTAGCAGTTGGAACTGTCATTAAATAGTACAGCTTGCAGGATCTGGATGCTCATGTACAGTCACCATTCCAGTTACAGAATGTAGCAGCAATTAATTGCAAATAGGTGAGAAGTAAATCAGAAGGCTGGTCTTCCTGCAAGCTGTAGTCAGAAGAGTAGCTGTAGGAAAAACCAGCTCATCTTACTCATTGGATCTGGCTCCTCTGTGTGTTAATATCTTAACAAATTTTTAGTAATAGCATCTGGTTACTATTGTCCTACATCTTCCTCCTCCCATTGTATCCAGTAACAGCCTTGAACTGTCATCACTCTGATTCTATCATTCAGGAAGCAGGAGGCAGCTTCTGACAGACAGTGGACTGTACTTCAGCACTGGCACTCCCTCAGGAAGCTGAACAAGTACTGCATAGCAAAGCAGATACCTCTGTTCACCTGCTGTGCTTGACCTCTTCCTCTTTATTTCCCTTTTCCATACCTGGAACAAGATGACAGGAGATTGGAGTGAGCCAAAGGGGAGTGGAAATAGCATGAAAAGATGTGAGGACCAAGAAAGTGGAGCAAAGACATCACTTCTTTTTTTTCCCTGCCTATTCCCAGCAGCCTGAGCTGCTGTGGCATTGCTTTCCAATAACACTGTCATTGCTTTTCTCAGCTGCTCTTGAATCTTGTGTCACTCATTTGGCTCAAGCTCTTTGCAGTTGGCATTTCCTGGCCCTGCTCAGTGGCTTTGCCTTGCCCCACTCCCTCAGGATTAGCAATGGAAATGAGTCTCCATCCTGAGAACATCCTTCTGTCTGATCATTCGTTGAAGCCTCCTTTCTCTCTTTCTTCTTACAGACATTTCTTCTGCTCGCTTGTACCTCCCCTTTTCAATTCCAGGAGGTTATTTTGAGTCACAGTACCTGTGAATTCTAACAAGGCCAGGGCTCCCGGCCCCTTTCGTGATGGATCTGTAGGGGTGGGGAACCCTTGCAGACCAGAGACTGTCCACTATTTTTCAGCTTTCCCTGTGTCATGTGGACCCAGTGTGCATGTCCTGTTCCTGGGCCTGCAGCCAGCTCATATGCTGTTTGGCCACTATCCAATTTTGCTTGCTTTGAGGAGGGTCGTGGGAAACTTCTATTATCTGAAGATGCACAGCTTGCATGTGGGACACTGGCCCTCACTGATCCCCCAGCATTACTCATGTTCTATTGTGAGAAATTTACTGTTTTGTTTTAACACTTCAGCTTTGGAATGACTCTGCCCCTTCTTGCTGTAGGCTGGTGTCAGTGATCCACATTTTAGACCTATAAAGACACAGTCAGCTTCTGGGTAGGAAGTCATTTCAGGAGTAGGCAAGGCAATTCTGCCTGAAGAGAAAAAACCATAATCCCTTATTTTTCTCCTCAGGATCTCTCACTGCTCGTCTGCAGAAATTCATTTTGTATATGCTGGGCTAACGTGCCATTAGTAAAGGAGGAGCCAATGGGCACAAGCTGCAATAAGAACAATTCCAATTAAATATTAGGGTTTTTTTTTGGTTTTTTTTTTTCCTAAATCTACTCTGTCAGGGGCCAAGCAGAGGAACAGGTTGCTCATAAAGACTCCAAGATTCCATTCTTGGAGATTCTCCAAACTCAGCAGTAGCTAGACCAGAACAATGTGATCTAAGGTGCTCTGCTCTGGACATGGGTTGGCCCAGGTGTCCTCCAGAGAACTTGTCCAACTTAAATCATCTCATGGTTCCACCAGATACAGATCTGATGTCTTAGGCTGGATTTTATCTCTGATTACAGGGTTTCTTCTTGCAGAGATGTGACATTTTCCTTCTTGAAATAATGAATTTTTTTTTTTTCCTTTTTCTTTTTTTACGTTGAAGTCTCTGAAGTGGTATCTTCCTTCTGTGTAGAATGCCATGTTAGACTAACATCTCCTTCACAGTCAGCAGGTCTTCAATTTTGACCTTTGAGAAACACTGTAGTGGCTTGGAAATATAATACTGTCTGCTGTTACTGGTAACCTTCTGTGAAATGGAGGCATCCCCATGCACGAGTAACACAGTTTCTTATGGCTGTTGCAACTCAGGGTATCTGCTCTGCACCAACAGCCTGTCTTTCTTTTACACATGAATAGTTGCTTAAGTGTCAACTCAGTGTGGGTAACCAAAGTTTCTCTCTGTCTTTTACTGCTATGAGAGCGCAGTAAGCTCTGCTTAGGTTTAAGAGATTGTGAATCTGCTGCTTTCATTGTCTAGGACCAAGATTAATCATGCTGCCTGTTAGTTGGAGGATTACATCGTTGTTTTTGGTCCATTTGTGGCCTAAGTGCTGTCAAATATCCTTTCTGTGAAGTTATGCTGAACTCTTGGATGGAAACATTTGTTCAGTGTTATCATTTGTGTTTGTAGAGTGCTGTTATAGGAGTATTCTACTGGCTGCAGACTTGTTTCTTTTTTTCTGTAAGGATTTGTTACTTTGCCACATGCAGGCAAAACAGAGGGGGAAGAACACTCGATGATGTCTTCCTTTCATGCCTAACATCACTTGTCTCCATTAAGACTGCCCAATTACTTTATTTATGCAGTTTGTGAGTAAGAGAGGCCCTCAGTAATATATTGACTGGTGTGGTTCAAATGCTTTAAGTACAGTAATGGATATAGCTTGGTAAAGTCTTCAGAAACCGGATTGGCAAAGAAATTTGTGCCGCAGGAAAAAAAAGAGCCATAGTTAAATGAATAGGATTACTGACATTAGCAGAATTGCTTTGGGTAATGCTAAAACTGATGTAGTTTCCAGGCTGATAATTACAACAAATGCTTGGGCTCAGAGCCACAGCTGAGCTGTGGTGTTGAGAGAAGATTATAACCTGCTATTTGCTTTTTGCCATTTTTCTGACTTCAACATCCTTTATTTCCAAGTAAAGCTAAATCCTTCAGACAGTGATGCTTCATTTTTTCTTAAGTGTAGAATTGGTTTGAAGCTGTGAACATAGACAACTGATAAATTGTATGTGCTACGGTCATAAAATACATTGGTGGGTGAGTTCAAAACTGATGATGATGTTTTCCTTGGTTACAGATGAAGAGCTTGCGTTGGGCTACGGCCTTGACAGAGGGGACCGCCACAAACTATACTGGGAAACAGAGTTCAAACCTGTGGCAGAAAAACTTCTGGACAGAATTCGGACCCATCACTCCTCTGTTTCCGCTGCGATCATTACTGCATTTTAATCTGCCTGGGCCTTTTTTTTTTTTTTTTTTTTCTTGTGTGATGTAGATTGTACAGATATATTTTTGCAATATATGTTGCCATTGGTAAGTGTGTTGGACAGCACAGGAAGTTAATGTTTAGAAAGTTGGTAAAGCCTAGTATTTATATAAGGGATACTATACTATCTTTTAAAGGGGCTTGCCTGAAATTTTTGCATTGTAATTACATTTTAGAATATATTTGAGTTTCTCAAGCATCCATTCAGTAAGATTTTTCTTGGCTGGCAAAAAGAAAGAAAACCATTTGCTGAACCTCTCATTTTAAAAAGGGAGTTATCAGTGGATACTTGGATCCTGTGTGTCATAAATGAATATTGCTTGGTAGAAGCAATCTCTTACCCAAAGACTTGGACACACTTTTACTTTATATGAAATTCTGCAACAGAATAACCCAGGTGCTAGGGGTGGGCATACTGGTGTGTTACATCATTGCATTCACTCTTCAAGCTGAAGGCTCCCACAGTCAGGAGGAAAGTTGCTCTTCAGAGATCCCCCTTTCTTTACCTGATGCCACCTGGTTGGAATGTCTCAACTCCTGCAGTGATGCTGTCAGGATGCAGGCCAGCTGTTGCAGGTAAGGGGCATTTCTGAATCAACGTCTTATTGCAAAATACCCATGCACCCAACATAAGATTTCAGCTTGGTCAGGTGTGTGCCTCCTTCAGCTGTTCTTATGTTCTCAGGAGCTGTGTGTGCCAGTGCTTCCGTCTGTCCTGGCATGCTGTGTCTTCTGGGCTCATGTCTCCATTCGTTTGGCAAAAGCAGGGCAGCCCCCTACATTGTTCACATTCCTTATGCTTGCTCTTGGCCTGTTCATTGGCTGTGTGGTGGCTTCCATTGCTACAGTCTACAGCAGAGAGCTTAGTATGGTTTAGCTCTGACAGCAGTTCTGCTGAACTCAAAAAGACCTGTTCCTTTTCTTTGATCTATTCCTTATTGTTCTTTCTTTTGCCATTTTAATTTTAGCTAAAGTTTAGAGGGGAGATAAACAGCTTCAATGCCCCATTTGCTCCTTGGCCGAAAGAGTGGATGTGATTTTCAGGCATATGAAAGAAGGCACGATGGGTGAGAGAGTGCTGGAGGCATTTGTTCTTGGCATTCGCATCAAGGCAGAAGGCAGGAGAACACCATGCTGCGTGGTGCAGGGTGGGGATGCAGCAAACAGACCTCGTGGCTAAGTCCTGTCAGAAGCTCTAATCAGAACTGTGAAATCCTCATTTTGTCTGTCAGAAGGCAGCCGGAGAAAGACTTCTTGCTCAAGTCCTTGTGATGGCAGAAATGGAGGCAATTAAAATTAGTTCAAAGAAAATGTTAGTTATTTCAGTAAACGCAAGTTATTGCAGTAGTTCAAGCAACTGAACTGTAAACAGCAGTGCAGGGTGTCCTGTAGCATAGCAGAACGGGATGTCCCAAACTGAAGAGAGAAGCTGGGACAGCCCATGGGTGTTACCTCTGTCCCTCTGTTAAGGGTTTATTCTGTGACAGTCTTAGGAAGAGGCACACCATAGGAATGCTAAGGAGGGCAGAGGACAGCTGAGGCCTCAGAGAACCCGTGGAGCCTCACAGGTCTGTCTCTTTTTCTGAGCAAAACTCTTAATAATTGTAAGCCCCGAAATGCTGAATTTTTGGTGTATTCGTATTGCATCTTTTACCATATGGTTGTGTTTATGACAAACCTCAGTGCAGGAGTTCTCTTGTGATGTAAGGAGCCATTTCTATTTAGAAACCAAGCACATAGCCTCTTGCCCTGTTGTTATTTTTTATGCCTTGGGAGAGTGGGTTCTCATTCACACGTGCAAAGTTATGAACTGAAACTGTGAAGATATAAAGCCAGGGGCTGCTGGGGAGGACTGTGAATTGCCCATGGGCAGATGGTCTGTCACGTTCCTATGGGTGGAGATAGAAAAGAAAATGCTGGTTTTGTTATTTTACTAGTGCCTCGTGGGCCCATGCAGCAGCCAGCCGTTAGCTCCCACCCCTCCTGCTAGCAGAGGGTGTGTTCATACTGTCCTAGGAGGAAGGCCACGGCAACACCGTCTCCTTCCATGGCCTTTTGGACAGGTTCCCCCACCTACATCTTTTGGAGTGAGTTGAGTTGCTGCCACTACTTGCCCACGATGCGTGGGGAAGCACTGAGGTATTGTTTCTGCATGCACAGAAGCTGCTGCACTGTGTGGCCACGGGCTGAGGCTCTGCAGGAGCTGCTCAGGGCTGACAGCCTGCAGCAGCCACTCACATCAGTGTTTGCAGAGGTGTCACGGCTTCTTCCTCACCCCCAGCATCACACACAGCTTCTGCTCTGTGCAGCAGGAGCCAACTGCCACTTTCCTGGAGTGTGACTGTCACTGGCATCTTGACCATTTTCATGTGTGTAAAGATGATACTGCTCTTAACAGCCTTGCTCCCCTAGTTCTTAGGACCTCAAATGCCTTAACTCCATTCATGGGAAAACCCAAATGTTTTCAGATAGATTACTCTCAGGTAAGCAGCTCTGTGTGGTTAGGATTGACTGTGAGCACTGTTTGAAAATGTGGCAGGAAGAAGCCCTTTGCACACACAGTTTGCTCTTTGAAAAGGAAGAGGGTGCCTGCATATGCCAGCTTGTGGCTGGAGATTTCATGCTGGAAATGGACAGGTGAGGCTTTGTGGAAGTCTGTCTACCTCTGAGCCAATAAATGAGCACCAGGAGCAACAGATGCTGCAGAAAATCGATTTCCAAAGGGGGAAGACACTTTTTTTTTTTTTTTGGTATGTCCTTAGGCTTAGCTTAGTTTTATGATTTTTTAGACAGGAAAGTTTTGCACTGTTTTTGGAACATTAGAAATCCTGTATTTTTAGTTAAGAGGAAATAGCAGATGCTTCCTGTTAGTCACGATTTTTGACAGTTTATTAATCTTTCTCCCCTAGATCATTTTAAATGTTTTAGCTTTTTGGACTACAAGCCTAAAAGTATTGTCAGAGTGTCCTGCAGCAGCAGAAACCAGTTTGAGCTAGCTCAGTTCTACTGGTGGGACTGGATATGTCCATTTATTTCCTGCCCTACTACTGTAAGTTTTGACACGTGAGGTTACTAGAACCCCATCACAGCCAGCTGCAGGAGTGCATCCAAAGCGGTTTGTCACAACTCTGTGGCTTTCAGTGAGGCCTTCGAAACCCTCTCTCCCAGTGTCCTTCTGGACACGTTGTCCAGCTGTGAGATAAACCTGTGAGGACACAGAAAAATCCATACAGCAGAGCACACCTGAATAGCAGGTAGCAAACTAAGGGAAAGAATGAGGGAGGATAGTGGGCAAATTGATGATGGATCTTCCTAGGATAGTGAAGAACTTTGTTTTTTTTAAACTTTACCTCCTCCCTGCTTTAGACTGTTGGAAAAGTCATGCTCAGCTACTGTTTCAAGCATTTAAAACCAGTCTTTAACAGAGCGAGAGTGTAAATCATTAAGAGTAGAAATGCAAAGTTAAACCACACAAAAACACCAGGAGGAAAAAGTTGTTATCTTTATTTAAAAAATACCAATAATACTGACATATTTAAAAAGCAATTCACACTCATACAAAAGTATTCATGTGTTCTCCAAAACCACTGTATATTAAATGTCAGCATTTTAATCATGTTTTGATTTACTAAAAATAGATGGTTTTTAGCCTAGTTATTTAAGCAACTGCAAAAAATCAGTAAGACCAGCGTTGGGTATGTAACGCAGTAGGACTGTTTGGCAGCCTAGAACAACATTCCCATCCCTTGTCACCGCCCCTGAGCAGGGAGCAGCTCACCCTGAAGAAGCAGGACGAGGGGCTGCGTGACACCAGACGTGGTCAGATCTGTACAAAGCTCTAAGGACCACGTCCTCTTCTTTCCATTGCACTTTGGAGCTCACCAAATAACGCTGAATGAATGTCCTACAGCATCTTAAGGCTATACTATTTGAGAAAATTGACTGCTATCTTTCAAATCATCAGTGTGGACAGAGGAGGTTTAGTTCTGATTAAAAATAAATCTAAATAACAAGGCTTTTTGGAAACCACGCACAATAAAGGCTCAGACAATAGCAGTGCTCGCTTTCACTTTGAGCTCAGCTGGAACAGCCTCTCTGTTTGCTCCACCAGCACAAATAGCAGCATCAAGATTTTCTAAAATTATTCTCGTAGGGAAAGTAAATGTTATCAAGTCCCATTTCTTACGCTCCAACTCCTGTTGCGTTTGCCTTACAAGATCTATATAGCTGTGGTTTGCAATATTGCCACAAGTCCATAGAGCATCCCATGCTGGCTGAAGCCAAACCACCCCCATCGGGCAGCACTTCAGCACAGCCCCGTCTTTTCAACTGCCAAGCGTTCACTGCCCCACGGCAGCGGTGACATTCCAAACGTGGAAAGAGCTGAAACTAAGGGAGTTATGGCACAACGGGCATCTTAATTTATAGCTACCATTGGTCCTGAGGCTTCATATCTTCCTCTGCCATACTGCAGCTGTGGAACATTCCAGCGTCGACAGGCAGCCGGAGACATCAGGTCATATAGCGAGTAATAGCTCTCAGAGCATAAAGTAGTTCGGCTTGCATCCGAGCTTCTACCAGAAGCAAATTTACATGGACCTTTCAAAAGGAAAAGAAGTCACTCTTCAGCAAAGTGCTCACAGAAACGTACTTTGGTAAGAGGAAGCCTGTGGGGCTGTGGTTTTCAGATTAGCTTTTGCCTTAGCAGTGGGGGAGAGCTTTGCGTGCTTCAGCTACCCAGAAAACTAAATTAGTTCTATCAGTAAAGCTTGCCAGAGGAGGAAGGATTTAAGAGGTGCTTCACTGCTGCAGCACAACACAGCAGCGGGACACAGGGGTGTTCAAGTAGGGCCAGGGTGGTAAGAAGAGGTGGGTAACCTATAATAAGCCAACTGCTTTAGCTGAGAAAAAACCAGACAAGCTTTCAAGCACAGAAGCCCTTCAGCAGTAGCTGACTACGTGCAGCTTGGAAACAACTGTGGAAGTTTAGCTTGTTTTAGTTAATTAGTTGAAGGCAAAAGGGTGGTTGGTACCTGTGGAGCGGAGGGGGTTGTTAGCAAAGGAAGAGGTGGTAAGGTCGTTTGCCCCTGTGGGTCAGAGAGAAAAACACACAGCTAATTACACACAGGTAATTATTGCCTGGACAATGACGGGGTGGGGAAGCAGCAGTGAAGCACGGGGGAAATCTTAACATGCCGTACAACTACTGCCTCTGCTGAGGGAGTGGCTCCCGGCTGCTACCAGAGGCAAGAAGCTGAGTTGCCCAGCCCATCTCTCAGTATAAGCACTGTGCTTCTGTGGAGGGGAGATGAAGAACCATGTGGTGGTGAGGGGTGAGAAATGTTTGGCTGACAGTTTGTTCCAGCTGTAATGGCTGTGCCTGGCTTCCCTGGCACTGCTTCCACAAGGATGGTGGGAACAGTTGCTGAGTGCCTGCAGGCACACATACATTTACAGGCTTTGGGCATGGAGATGCAAAGCTTGGGGCTTTAAAGAAGGGGTTATGTGCTTGAAAGCTTGTAAGTCTAACAACAGAAAAAAAAACAACATATGAACTATTTTACTCCCACCCTTAAATCACCATTTATAGTACCCCCATTATTACTGGGTATCTCAACTATTTTCACAAGGAGTTAAACTGTTATCTAGCAAACAATTCAGCATGAAAATTAGTTCAGTCTGGGGAGTACTATTTCCTGAATGCAAGCAGAAGCCCAGTACCAGCATTAGCCACATGCTGGCTGGGTATGTGTGCTGGTAGCAGGGCTAACAGATCTCCCACCCCCGCCCTTCAGAACGCACACAAACTGTACCTTCTCAGAGTGTTCAAACTGCCTCCAGAAGCTATCATACATTCTTTTTGTGGTCTTTTCAGGAGTGCAAACCACAGTCTTGATATAAACTTTAAAGCTGCGGTCCAACAACTGATTAATTTCACCATAGTCATAATCATCGTATCTGTTCGGAATTGAAAGAAACACTTTCATTTTCAAGAAGCAGTTATTTCACTTGCATTTTTTTGTAGCTTCCTTTGAGAAAAATCAATTATTGTATAATTTGTACCACTATTCGAAGTTTAAAAAGAAAACAAAAAACAAAAAAGCAACCAAGCACGCACACGTTTGCTTAATATATAAAAGAAAGGAATAAAACTGACCTTATTCCAAACATACAGTGAATATAGTTCCAAATAGCTCGTCTTAGCATTGAGGTATCCACATCTTTGTGCATGGCCATTGTGTTGTAAGTCAGATTATAAGCAATGTGAAACTTCTCATCAAGTAGCTGTCCCACATCTGGGTAAAGACGATTAACCAAGGAATAGCCGTGGTCTTCCCAAGAGTAATCCTTAGAACAAGAATAAATGCAGATGTGAACTTGTGAAGGTCTGGTGCTTTAACGTCATTTATCTCAGGGCAGATAACTGTAGGGGTTTTGTTCACTTGCTTGCCTTCTCACCCACGAGGCAGTAAACTACAGCACTGCAATTTCTGGGTCTGGTATGTGGCACACCAAGCAGAGAGCACTTGAAACGTCCTGTGAGCAGCTCCATCCTGCTTACCTGAGCTCGAAAGGTGGGCACGTGCATCCCGTGTCTGGAGAAGTCCTTGTAACCATAGCTGGTGTCCTCAAAGTGACGAGACACATCTCTTGTTGGTGCCGACTCTTCATCTTCTGTTAATTTCAAACAGAATTCCACAGAATTACACTAACGACAAACTGGAATTGGAACTATTACAGAAGAATGGGAGTTTTTGTACTTTTTAACGTAAATACAGTTTCACCAGACTACCCAGATTACAAATCTTTGGTATGGCTTAATATGACTGCACCTATGCTTTCTTAGAGGAAGCTCCTTGAAAAACATCCAGATTCTTTCTTACAGACAAGCATCTTTTTCTCCCTTCTTTTGTGTACATATCTTCAATCCTGGCACTACTTTGCTTTTTTTTTTTTTTTTTTAAAGCATTCCCAGAAGAAAACAAGGTGCTCCCAGTCTCAATCCCTTCAATGTAATGGTATAGTGCTTGTGACATCTAACACCTTTTTTCCTTCTGCAATGCTATGTATGTCTTCAAGCAATTTGGAACGGTATAAACATATATACAACTACATCTGCACTACCTGAAGAACACACAAACATGCTTTCTCTCTTCTCTCTTTCAAAACGTGTAGCCATCTCCTCCTGGCTTGCTTCCTCTTCATCTCTGCACTCCTGCAGTTGCTTCATTTTCTCCATAAGAGCTTCAACTTCACAGACAGACTCTGTAGTCTTGAAAAAGAGACACAAACATTTCATTTCTTTGTGTAACAAAAATGACAAGTATGGCAGAAATCATCAAGCCAGAAAATTTAAGCAGTTGTGTCCTTCATTTACGTCTTTAAATACTGATTTTTCTAGGAAACCAGCTCATGAGAGAAATCTGTATTGACCTAAGAGTTCACATTTAGTCATCACCTTTTCTCAGTCAGATCCCTGGTATTTTTGGTAGATTTTAAGAGTCACAGCTTTTTGAAACAAGCAGTTGTACCAAAACTGAAATAATTTCTCTTACTTAATCTAAATGTCTAACAACTGAAAAACGAGGGGCTGTAACAGAAATTCCGATAGAGGAAGTAACCACAATTTACTGCCCAACTGTTATTTTTTCTCCTCCTCTGCTCACATATTGAAGAAAACATTGAAGAGAACAGTTAGAGTGAGTGTAAATGCATATGCAGTGAAGTCTCAAAGGCCAGCTAGCAGGACATAATCTTATCTCACAAGAGTTGCTTTGTCACCACCACAATACACCATTAATTCAATATCTGATTCTGTAAAAATCCACCTGTAAAGAGCAAGATGAAGTTATCTTCAGTTTATACTGTTTTCCCCATTTCCTCTTTGCCTTTTGCAGTCAACTTGCTCCTTCAGAAAACCAGCAAGCTCATCAGACAAAATCTGAATGCCATCTGCACGATTACAGTAAAGTCTCACCCCGCAAGGAACCCATGCTGAAAATATGTTATCAGTGCACTCACATCATGCTTCTCACCAACTGGAAGCAAGCACACATCAGTGAGCACAATGCCGCAGGCAGGAAGCACTCTTTTAGGTACAGGGTCAGAAAATGGTGAAAGATCTGGTGTGTGATGCATCACAAACACCTCAAGGCATCAAACGCTGCACTCGAAGGAAGAGCCAACTTTCCACTGCGCACGTGGAAAAAAAAAAAAAAAAAAAAGCACTTCTGATCCTGGCTGCTCAGGCCATGCATTGCAGCCTAGCTGAGGTCAGCAGCAGTCATTCAGTTAGGTGAATAAATGAGACAAAGAGCAGACAACAGAAAGATTGTATCTCTGTCTCTTCCTTCGGTGGCTTCCCGCAGCGTCATTTCAGCACCTCCTAAATGTCTTTTTTCAACTGGTTGCTCTTCATCTAGATTAGGCTAAGCCATCCCACTCTCACTGAACAGAAAGGCGTCCTCGGTGTACTTGGTTCACAAAGAAACTACTGCTACTGCAAGAGATTGTTTGTTCAGACAGACACTTACCGGAATACTTGCAGCTGGGCTGGCATGAATGTCATCCACCCCGTGGTAGCCATTTGTGATATCACACAAGCAGTAGTTGCTGACAGAAGGTGGCCTGAAGGTGTGACCGCCTTCGCAGTCGATCTCTGGGCTGATTCCGCAGCCAAACGTGAAGGAAGCAAGGGAGTGGTAGTGTGTCAGCAGAACAACAGCGTGGATCAGCTCTGCCAGGGACCAGCTGTTCTCTTCTGTCTTCAAAAGTTGCTTTAAAAATAATGCAAGACAAAAGCACTAACTTTAAAAAAAAAAGGGTTCAGGTGATTCCACCTTCATGCAATTTATCAATACATTTCTTTGCCCGCTAAAATTATTTTTCCTATATCCACAGTTGCTTCCTAACTCTCTGCTGCTGCTGCTAGCATGCTCCGTGTCCCAGCTGCAAATGACCTGGGGTTAAGCCACACACAGATGACTTCTCTCCCCTCTCCAGCCCCCGAACAGCTACTGAAACCACTGCAGTTTCTATTTAGCACCATATGGTTTGCACTGAAGCCAGGCCGAATTGTGCTGAAATCTCACACCTCTAATGAAAAGGCAACCACAAGAGCTGCATATTTCTTCTGCTGATCCTTGGAGACTTGGAAAATCCTGGCAACTCCTGGCAAACCAGCAGTGTTAAAACCTAGCACCAGAGCTGGCCTCCCTCCATCTCGTCCTTGTAGGTGGAATGCTCTACACTTGGTAAGAAGCTTCAAACCCCCACTTCCCTTCAGGCAGGAAAGTGTGGGAGGTTTGGGGCCTCCTGGCAGAGCGTACATCCTACCCCCAGCCCGCTGTCATGCCCCTGCTCTGCACCTGGCAGGCAGAGCTGAGCAAGCCCCAGCACCTGCCTCCTCTGTGCTAGGGGGAAAGGGAAGGGCAGAGGAGGAAAGCTTGCTCCAGCAGCCACTGTCAGGACAGAACATCCCTCACCCTAACTGGCTGAAAAACAAGCATACGTTCGCATTACTCCCTGAAAGATTTACCTCGATATGCTCCTTGGTGATAAGCCAGGGTCGGTGAGCCAACATTTTGTTCAGTTCTCCCAAATTCTGCAGTTTTTGCGGTGCATTTTCCAGGCCGTTCAACCATTTGGGGTCTCCACCAACATGCAGGAAGTCATTCACATGGAGGTTAACAAGGTAAGAGCACTGATGTCTGGCTGCAGCCTAGAAGGAAAAACATGATTCCGATACAGAAAACAAAGTGAGTTTGCACTTTATAACAATTACTGTAAAAGTCATCATTTCCTCAAAATACTCAAGAATAAGACTTGCAGTGTTCAAAGATTGAGTTAAAAAAAAAAAGAGACATCTGCCCATTTTGACGATTGTTCTCACACCATAAATATTCTTCATTTGTATACACTCTAATGATGCTGGTCACAGGTGCAACATCCTACACCCAGGGAGAAGTATGAGCACAGACTCAATGCACTGCTACAGCAAGAGTGCCATACTGCACAGTGGGCTCCAGAGTGGAGGAAACAACAGTGCTTCTAGATGAATCTTTGCCACATAGAGCAAGAACAACAAAAGGGTAGCTTTGCAGCAAAGTGTGATCTATGCAAACAGTAATGCTCTTCCCATCAAATTAAGCTGCAGCCCAAATCTTTAATGTAACTTCAGCAGGTGAAGGTCACTGCGCTGTCAGATTGGAAATGAAAAATTCAATCACTTTGGGCAGATAACTTCCTCAGAACAGATTCAAAAACATAGGATGGGACCATGATGGCAGAGGGAGGTGCATTTGATGGACCAGGCACACAAAAAAAGTTGTCTTAAAAACCAGTTTCTGAGATACTAAGGAAACCAAAAATAAGCAACTGTTTATATTTTTATAACACTTTTTTGCTTCCTCGCATTCGCACTGAAGCTCTGAACATCAAGAACATCAAGTACTGGTCTTACAAAACAATTTGTACAGCAGACAGGAACAAACCTACTCTGTTCTTCCCCTCGGCTTCTAACGAAATGCCTCACCAACTAGAAAGTGCAAAACACAATAAGAACTGCTAGTAAAAGAGATCAGAGATAACTGCCACAGCGGCTGCTTCTGCTTGCTGCCGTGTGCTCCAGCGTACCATTATCCCGATGTAGTGCCGGTAATGAAGAGGGAGCGGGCCGTCCATCTGCAGCAGATAGTGCTGAGTTTTCAGAAAGCTTTCCAGATACTGTGGGTGGAAAACCATCACCAAGGTAACATTGTCCAATCGGCCCAGCGTAGCAAAAGAGTCTGCAAACAGCGCGTGCATCATGGCGTCTTCACTTCCCACTTGAACGGTCTGATTTAACAGAAAGAGCAATTAGCAATGTTGTCTCAGGAGCGTCAGTAAAACAGTAAACAAATGTACTGCCACAGCACCCAGAGCCCCAGTGAAAGGAATTACATGAGACAGCTGTTAACAGCATTAAATCAGCACACGTAAAGACAGGCACACAAAATCCCAAATATTCATACCACCAGCAAAGGGAGACTTTTGCCTTTTTGCTTTCTCTCATGCAAAACTTACTTCTCATTTCTAACCCTCACCTTCACTTTCTTGAATGCCCCAAATTCATCCGAGCTTTCTACAAAAATAGCAAGCTAGCTGAAAAGAAAAAAATTCACTGAGGGGAAAAAAGAAGGAAACAAGAAGCTAGCTAGGACAACAAGGGAGAAATAAAGGAGACTGAAGCTTAAGGCTCAAGAATTCCTAGAAAACCACAGGCATATCACCAAGTTTTCCTCTGCTCCAAATCCTTCTACCAGCTAATGAGAAGTACCAGAAATGCTCAGCCACAGCACTCCAAAGTCTGACAGACAGTCGGAATGGCAGTGGCAGCTCCAGAAAAACTAACCCTGGAGCAGAGGGGCAGGTACCTCGTGGACCAGTAGGAAACTGCATCCAGACATTCACAAGGAAACAGGCACTCCTCCCCAGAACAGTATTGGGTTTCTCTACTGCTAGACAACAGAACAGGATGTTTTGTAACCATTCCAGGGCTCACTGCTTTTGCATATCAGAACCGTGGCCAAAATCTCACCAGGACTGAATGTGAACACAAGTGAAAATGTTCTGCAGTTCAGCAGCTGTCCTGAAACCAAGTGTGGGTTACTACTAAAAGAGTGTTCCTTAAAAGCATAAAGTTCACTGTGTACTTGAAAACACCACCGCACCTCCTTCTCTGGGATGAATCTGCTTGGTCCGTGTCCCAGTGGTCTAGGAATTCTTATGCCGAGTTCCTAGAAAAGAAAAACACACCATCTCAGCATTCGGTTATAAACAGCTTTTAGCTGCGGTTGCAAGAAAGAAAGGAATATATCATTCAGAGCAGAGCTTATTTGGGTACTTTGGGTCCTCTGCCATGGGAACTTTTACTGGTACCGCTTGTACAAATGCTGATTATTTTCCTCCAAGTGCTTTATAAGTAGCGCACTTGTTTACAGTACACAGTCCCACTCCAGCAACAGAGAAGTGAAACAACAAAGGCCCTGTCAGCTGCAGAAAACATACACAAACATACATATGCACACACGCTCCAACCTGGTTCACAGCAAAGTTGCACAGAGCATTTTTGGCAGGGTGTCCAGGACAAGTTGTTCAGTACACAGCCGGCCGCCGTGCGGTTGTGCCACTGATACAGAACGAGCGCGGTGCTGTGCATCTGTCAGGAAACCAAACAGCTGTAACCCTCGTCAGATCGCTTTTTCCCCAACCTCAAAGAGGTCCTAAACTGCCAAAAGTACCCAATCTGTGTTTCCATCAGCTTTCTTTTTGTGATAGGTGGCTGCTAGCAGAGGAAGGGGCTGCTCCCTGTATGCTGCCGTGGCCCCATCCTCCTCCAGCTGGGGCTGGACCCACGTGTGTCACTGGGGCACTTTGGGCACAGCAGAGCACCCACAGCTCTTCCAGACTTTGTGCAAACAGAGCCTGCCACTTCCAGCTTCAAACTTTTTGCTACGTTTTCCTCACGTAGATAAAGGCTGTTAGAAACAAGCAATCCCAGTCTCACTCACTGTTGCATTTTTTCTCTCTTTAGCTGAGGTTTCTATTTGCACGAGCAGAGATGTTATTAATCAGTTACTGTCCCCTGAACTTTCCCCTAAGATTAAAAACCAGCTTCCAAAAGCTCACAAACATCAGTGCACATCCATGTCAGAGTTGCCAAAGCCCATTGGACTGCAGTGTCCCCCAGCCAGGTGCCCTCATTTCTCCAGTCCCACTGGCATAAATGGAGACCACAAACAGCTCCTACTGTGACCTCTTCACCTTTCCATGAGACTGCGAGGTAGTTTTCCTCCTCAGGGTCCTGACATTAACAAACTGCTTTTGCTAAGCTGCTGGCAAGGCCACTTGTCACTGTGGAATGGCATTTAGAACGTCCTCTCTGCAGAACTCTAGTACAGCTCCTTCGCCCAGCTGCTATGGTACCAGCAAATCAGGGATATCTCACACGCGGACGTGAAGGAGACATCTGTGCACACGTTGCCATTGAGCAGGTGGGCTGCAGCATCTGCCAGCTTCAGCACTCCAAGAGGAATAGCTTGAAGTTTGATTCCTGACAACTGCATTTTGCTCTTCTTCTGTCCCAGACAAGAGGCCAAACTACAGCGATTATGCTGCATGCGACAGCTCCATCAGGAAGGTTGAAGTGAAAGCCCCCTCCCAAAACCCCCACAGGATGACACTGTGCTTTCTGGGGGTGCTGAGGAAGTCATCTTGCTTTCCCTCTGGTCCATAGATCCTGGCACCAGCTCAGCTCTCAGGAAGCACGGATCCACACCTCCATTCTGGAAGGGATGTGGCAAAGGATACGTGAATGCTGCACGTTCACTGCCTTAGTTTCCAACCAGCAAAATGGGGGTGAAAAATCTTTCTTCCTGAGTCTGAGAGCAGAACTATACCTCTTGATACAGGGCACTTTGCTGCCATAGCCATAGTGTGTACAAGATCTGGCCCATTAGAAGTCTTCTGAAAACAGTCATTCGTAGAATCATAGAATGGCCTGGGTTGAAAAGTACCACAATGATCACCTATTTTCAACCCCCCTGCTATGTGCAGGGTCGCCAACCACCAGACCAGGCTGCCCAGAGCCACATCCAGCCTGGCCTTGAATGCACCAGGGATGGGGCATCCACAATATCTCTGGGCAACCTCTTCCTACAGCAGACCTTTTAGAAACCATTTTCCACTACTTTTACCCCCAGAATCACCATTTATCCATGTTCTTCCCACACGTGCAAAACACCAGGCACCTCCAAGTGCTCTGAGCATCTCCATACGATAGCAAGAACACAGCAGTAACTCTCAGAGGCGCTCCTAGAGGCTCTCCCCTTAGTTATACTCCATTCCCATACTTCACAGCTGCTCCTCCAAACATGTTCAGCCCAAGGAGCACCATTCCCAGCCCCCCCTTCCCAGGCACACTGTGGCCAAGGCAGGGTGCAGCACCCAAATCTTCCCATGAAGATGCAACCCCAAAAGCACCCAACCAAGCGAAGCTGAGCAAACAACCACTATTTATTCTGCTTATTACAGAAGCGTAAGTGACTTTGATGTGGTTCCGGGCCATCTGGTTGCACACCAAAGTGACACCTCTGGAGGGAAGTGAGACTTTGGCTGTAAAAATGCTGTGAGGCCAGAGGAGACCACCTGAGAAATCAGAGAAAAGCCATCCCTGGTAGCTCAGGTGATGCAGTTCACGTCTCCATATTGCCACTGTTTGTATTTTCACAGGAACTATGTATGCTGGATGCCTGACGTTTCTGGATCTCCAGGTCCATCATCACTGCCATACCTGTGTATCTCACCTATTTTATTTGTGCAACATTTCTGTGAGATAAGGCATGTGAATGATCTCCTTTTCAGAAAACAAAAGAAGAGAAACAGAAAGGCGAGGTGTCTAAGTGAGGCTGCTACAAGGAACCCAATGGCTCGAGCTGAGCTCTCTTGAGCTGCAGGCTGACTCTCTAACCAGCAGACTGTGCCTGCTCAGAGACTTCTCAGCCAGATGTGTGTTCTATGCAAATTCACACCAAGACACAGCGCTTCTGAGGGGAGATGGAGAAGTAATGAGACAAGTCTGCAAACTGCACCATGCTTCCCTCTTACCATTCTCTCTCACTTATCTGGCTCACTTCTTACATCCAACTCTGCAGCACCAGAAATCTGCGCAGTGTGCACACTTGTGCTCAGAAGACAACTTATCCAGGGGCATCCCCTTTACTTATGCCTTTTCTGTATCTGTAAGACTGTGAATTGAGCCCATTTTCAGGGAAATTTTTGAAGCACCTTGTCAGGAACAGCACTGCTAACAAATTTAAGGAAAATCAAAGTCCTGAGACGGAGAACTGAATGGCAAATGCTTAAAAGATGTATTTAATACCTGAAGAACAACATGCCTCAGCACTGTTGGTAACAGAATATCATCAGCTTTGGTTCCGAACCTCTCCAAAAGAGGTGTCAATTTTGAACAGATACCTGATGTCAGAGATTCCACCCCAAAACACAGAAGCGGGGATGCTGGGCTCCTGAAATGGGCACAGCTGCTGCTCCACAGCCAAGCCTAAAACACTATCTCAGCTCCCACCCCCTCCCCATCTACGGGCTCCCAGCAGTTGAGGCCCTTCCTTCTGTCACAAAACCTCTCCCAAAACCCAACTACTTGGTTGGAGGGGTGTGACGATGGCCACTGAAGCGCAAATTTTCAGTGCTAACCAGGACACACAATGTTCAGGTTGCCCTGGACTAACACAGCGAGTCACCCTGCCCTCCTCACATACAGTCAGCAGCAGTATCCGACGCTGCACCTCCCTGACACCTCCAAGGAGCAGGGAATCATCTCCAAGGCTCAGGAAGCCGGCACTGCCCTTCAGACAGAAGGCAGCACTCAGCAGCCCTCGCTGCCCCCTCGACGAGGCGCCACAGCCGTGCTGTGCCGTGGAGCTGGAGTTTCCCTCACCTCTAAGGATGAGCTGCTGTTTCGATCTCCCTTTATGTTTACCATGTCCGGGCTGACGGGAGCTCAGCTTTTAAGCCGCACTTTCGGTTGTGCGATGGCAGCCCCGGGGGGCTCCCTCCCTTAGCAGACGGGTGGCTTTGGGAAATAAACAGATCCGGAAAGAAAGAGCATGGATTAAAGACTGTAACTTCTTTCTAACAGAGAAGAAAATATTCCTTAACACCTACATCATTTCTAAAGACGGGGCTAGACAGAACCGCTGGTCTGTCCCATTCTGTTCGTTCACCTACACCCGAAGCATCCGCGGCACCACATCCGCGGGGCACAGCACAGCCGCTACGACGGCACAAAGCGGGGCAGCCGCCCGCCCCGGCAGCAGACATGCCCGCACATGCACGGACACGGCCCCAGAGACGGCGGCACCGACCCTCCGGCCCGGCGCCGGTGCTGGAAGGGCAGACTCGGAAGGAAGGTCCGCCACCTCCCCGCCGGAGCAGCGATTAAGCCGGCGCTGCGTGCGGGACGCAGAAGGAAGCAAGTTTCACCGAGGCCGAAGCCGAGCAGCCGGCGCTCCGAGGCGCGGTCTGCACGAGGCAGCGCCGGCAGCAGTTGGAGCATTCAGAGCACGGTAGAATAAAAGCCGCGATGTACGGAAACGAAGGATTTCCCAAGCCGGACTGAAGGAACATTTATTCCTCCCCCGAAATAACGCTGTCGCAGGTTACGCCTGCAACGAGCTCACCTCGAGAAACCCGAGGCCACGTCCCCTCCCCACTCCGTACCTGCTGCTGGGGGCCCGGCCTGCCCACCCTCATGCCGGCTCCTCGGGCCGGGCCTCACCGCGCTCCGCACAGCCCCGCTCGGCTCTGCCGCACCGACCGCCGCCGCCGCCGCCGGGCCGCCCTCCTGGCCGGGCGGGGCAACACCGCCCCGCCCCGCCCCGCGTGCCTCCTCAAAGTCCCCGGCGCACTGCAGGCAGCGTCTGGGCTGCTCGTCTTTTCTTAGACCACTGCAGCTCTTCCCTCGTTCAGCAGAGGATCCCCCTCCCTCCTCTCGCGCACCGACACCGCGACGCCTTTTAAAGGGCGAAGGTGCGGGAGGCCCAGCTTTGCAGGTAGCTGTGTGACTAAGCACGCTGCTGCACGGATCTGGCCCGGCGCCCGATCCCGAGATCACGGCAGCGCTGGGCAAACAGACGTTTTGCAATGCCGTCAGCAAAACACTCGGCCTTTGTTTGCAGCGTTCCGTGCCTCTGGTCGACCCCCGACGCTGCCGGCTCCTTCCTAGCAGGTCTGGGGCTCCGTGACACCCGTTCACACACAGGGTGGTGACGCACTGGCACAGGTTGCCCAAGGAGGTTGTGGATGCCCCATCCCCGCAGGCTTTCAAGGCCAGGCTGGATGTGACTCTGGGCAGCCTGGTCTGGTGGTTGGTGACCCTGCATGTAGCAGGGGGTTGAAACCAGATGATCATTGTGGTCCTTTTCAACCCAGACCATTCTATGATTAGTCCAGAAGTGATGATGAGTCTCTGAATCAGACCCCAAGATTTTTGAATCTCTCAAAGCAGTCTATGATTTAGAGGCAAATTCTGCCGAACCATTTACCATCACATACTTGGAATTAAAATAAAATGATGGACCGGTTTGGAGGGTACCCCTAAAGGTACACATCTAGAGGAGAAAGGTTTCTGCCTGCGATTGGCATTGCCACAGAGCCAATCCAGAGCCTTCGCAAGCTGTGGTGTAGCAGCAAAGCAGGGAAGTTCCACAACTCTGAACTTTACACTTCTGTTAAGTCTAAAATTGAACACCAAAAAGCTTCACAAGTGGCCGCAGGTGTACAGATCTTGCAGCCAAATGCAGAAAACACTGCAGATGGTACTGAAAGCACCAATGTGGCTCAAAGCACTGATTCTGCACAGTTCTAGTGTTAAATCTGCTCTAGGGAGGCCTCATTGCAGCCTTCCAGTACTTGAAAGGAGCTTACAAACAGGAGGGGGACTGACTTTTTACCCAGGTACACAGTGATAGGACAAGGGGGAATGGATTTAAACTGAAAGAGGGGTGATTTGGGTTATATGTTAGGAAGAAATTCCTCACTCAGAAGGTGGTGAGGTGCTGGCACAGCTGCCCAGAGAAGCTGTGGTGCCCCATCCCTGGAGGTACTCAAGGCCAGGTTGGATGGGGCCCTGAGCAGCTGAGCTGGGGGGTGGAAGCTGGATGATCTTTGAGGTCCCTTCCAACCAAAGCCATTTTGTGATTCTTTCCTTCCCAAATACCACCACCTCTCTGGGCTGCAGATTTACTCTG